CAGACTGCCGTTCTTACTCGTCAACATCTGTGGATACGGACCAGGCTTTGCTACGAACCAAACTCTCCTTACGCCTGACAAACAACCGCAAAAAAACCAACGACAACGAATACCCACAATACAACGTCGGCGATTCCTGCAAATAGGCCTTCGTAGCGGAACTCTCCGATCGCCTATCAATGAAACCACCACCCAGAGGACTCAATGAACACTGCAAGCAAATCAAGGAAGCTATGCAAAAATCGATAAAAACAAGGTCGGTCCCTGCCACTCACTGAAAACACAAACGATGGATCTCGTCGACCTCGTTTGCCCTGCTGGACGCCAGCGGAACCATTCCTCCCAGTGCCACATATGACACTGCGCGCAAATCCCTCAAACGCCAGATCTGAGTCTGAGGAATGACCGCGAGAAGTGGTGGGTAGAAAGGTGTAGGGTGATGGAGAAGGCTGCGGCTATTGGTAATAGTCGCAATCTTTTCCATCTAATTCGTAATACGGGCCCTAGGAAAATAGGCTTAAATGAGGTGATTCGGTAATCCGATGGCACACTGATTCACCATCAGCAACGTCGTCTTGACCGTCGGATTGAGTATTTCGAGGTCCTGTTCAATTGACCTCCCGACACCTGAACTATCATCCTCCACCTCAACTGGACAAATACTCCCAGTTGATGCCAGTCCTCTATCTGAAATAGAGGTGTCCCAGGAAATAAGCTACCTCAAAAGGCATAAGGCCTCCGGCCCACATGTGCTGTCGCTGTTGACTTTTAAGGATGAAGGCTCAGCCTTGGTTTCGGAGTTAACAAAACTCCTGGGCTCAGTGTAGGAGTGGAAAGAAGTTCCAACTGGAAGATGTGAATCTGTCATCATACCGATTTACAAGAAGGGCGACAGGTCCTCTTGGGAAAACCACAGAGGAATTAGTTTATTCAACATTGTTTCTGAACTGCTCGCTGGGATCATACTTCATCGATTGTTTGCCGGAAGTAAAGAATGCATGCGTGAAAACCCGGCTGATTTTAGACCCGGTCGAGGTTGTATCGATCACATCTTCACTCTCCGTCAAATTCCAGAACACAGACACTCCATTCGTAGACCTACCATCTCTGTCTTCCTGGATCTGAAAGCGGCTTTCGACTAAGTTGACCGCTCTAAACTCTGGCGCTGCCTTTTTCTGAAAGATGTGTCCGAGAAGTTAATTTCAATATTACGCTCGCTGTATACTAATAGCCGAAGTCGAGTCCGGGCTTACGGCATTTTTTCGCTCGAGTTCACCACGGAAAGTGGTGTTCATCAGGTTTGCCCTCTCTTTCCTTTTGTATGCAACTTTGTTATAGATTTCATTCTTGAAACAGCTTCATCCTCGTGCGAGGAAAGCGGTATCCAGTTACTTCCTAGTGGCAGACTGTTTGATCTAGAGTATGCAGAGGACATAGTACTACCAAGTTCGAGACGCAGGTAAGTTGTAAGCTTTTCTCGACAGCTTGAATGCCATTGTAGCCATGTTCGGTATGCGTTTTACGCATAAAGTGTAGAATGCTACTACAAGATTGGGTTAGTCCAGCACCCCGCCTCACTGTAACTGGAGAAGTTATAGAGCAAGTGGATAAGTTTTGTTATTTGGGTAGCTCTATTTCACCCGGTGGAGGCATCACAGTTGAAGTGTCAGCTCGCATGCAGAAGGCTCGGTTGTCATTTGCCAACTTGAGACATCTTTGGCACCGTCGCGACATCCGGCTGTCTGTTAAGAGTCGAATGTATGCTACGGCAGTTCAGCCAGTTCTGCTATCCGGTTCAGAAACCTGGCCATTGAGAAAACAGGATAAAGGTAGACTGTCGGTATTTGCGAACCGGTGTCTACACAGAATTGCACGAATCTGGTGGGGAAACCGAACGAGCAATGCTGAGTTTAGGCACAGAGTTTTGGGTAAATGCGGTCGTGCACTTGAGCAAGTAGTCGATCTCCATGGATTACGTCGGTTGGGGCGTGTTACGCATGTCACCAGATAGGTGCCACGGCTAACGATGTTTGCCGAGACATTTAGTGGATGGAATAAAGTCATGGATGGTCAAGTTAAGACCTAACACGAGGGTATAACAACTCTAAGTAGGAGTCTGTGTCACATACATCGTTAGTCTCCCTGGATGGGGACCTCGGGATGGTCGTACCCTATGGTTAGACGCTCGGTGATATAGCTGAGTGTCGTAAACAGTTGCGTTCGTACATCTTGCTCATTTCTCTGCAACATTAGTCCACCAAAATTCTAAAGTTTCTCTTTGACCCTTTGCTATTTTTTCCTGATGTCTATTCACATGGGCAGACAAATGACAGCAACCCAAAACAGCGCACGATTGTGCATGGTTAACGATTGTACAAACTGAAACTCATCACCAGCCTAGGTGACATCATCATTGCTTGTGATGTCACCTCGTTTGGTGATGAAACGTTTGCAAACAAATTGCCAAGCTCGTCGAGCAGGCGAAACCTGGCATGAGGGTATGAAAACCCTAACCAG